TGTCGGAGAGTGCCACTGTCCACTGTTTCTCCTTTGTTCTTTGCTCTACAAGAAGGTAGTTGTCCAGTTGGAGGTTGTATTTGTCTACATTCAATTAAGGTTCTGGGTTAAAATTAAAGAAAACAAAAAATTTTATCACATAACAATGGGAGAAAATTACTCAGCCTTTTCGTGACTTTGTCAATTTTTAACCCTCCTCTTAGTTCAATCCAGACTTTAAGGGAATAGAAGCCATACTTTCAATTAAATTTACAGCAATTTACGCGGATTTGAAAGTTCCGTCTAAAAGTTATTTTCGGATACCAATTGTTACTTCTGTTGTGTGTTTGTGTTGTTCTTACCCCCCCCCCCCCCCCCCCCCCACCACCCCTAAGGTACTTTCTTGGTGTATGAGATAATTTTGCTCATTGGCTTATCTCATTAGTGCAGGGTGTATATTACTCATCCCTCTCCCCTTCCCCTCCCCTTATTCTCCTTTTAGGTGCTGCCTATACACTTGTGTTGGATATGACATCTGCTGAATCCCCCTCACGCAATCTAAAAATAAAATCCTTGGCTAATAGCGGCGCTGAACGACCTCCTTCCCTTGGTAGGTGAAACACACTCTCTCGCTCTTTGTTTCCCCATCGCCACACCATATCCTAGCTCCGACGATACTTGTGCTTGCTTTTAGAAACGGCTTCGGGTTTGTATGGTGCCCTTCTGGAGAAGGTTTGTGGATGTCTTCGAAAGTGGATGAACGATTTTGCAACTTCTTCCTTTGCTTTGGATGTTCTCTGTGGAATGGCCAATGCCCCAGTTCCTCAGCCAAATATTGCTCTATGCAAGTTGACACAAGTTTTGTTTTACCCCTTCTTTTTCTCACCACAAAGCGCCGCCTTCAATCTTCATTTTTTTTCAATTAACTTCAATTGGTAATGCATTAGGCCACTTTCTGTTCGAATGTTTAATTTGCCGAAAATTTGGGGTCCAACTTTGCCCTACTTGTTCCTCTACGTTTTTGTCCACAAAATGTCCAATTTCATTTTTAAATCTCACAACATATATGGCTCATGTCCATCGCTAGGGAATGATTTGCCATGAAATTTCAGAAATCTCCCTTAATGCTATTGACTCTTAAAATTCCTCTTCGTGCACTCTTTTAATAGTTCGCAAATTCAATCACTTATATTGGCACATCCCTAGGTAACCAAATTCGCTCAAACTCCTCCTAGTTGCCATTTTAAGTGGTGTGACTCTGATAGGGGATTAATCGGTCTTCTTGTTTACCAAGTCGTCATTCTCGCCATGGTAATAGTGAAATTGACGCCCTTTTATTGCTGTTTTTCATCTCTTAAAATTCCTAACAAGTGTCGAAGTCAGAAATAATTTTTGAAAATAAAAGGGTTTTGAAAGTAAGGTGAATCCAGGATTTGGGGTGGGGAAGAGTCATTTTGTGATTCTCTTACTTTGACCTTGAAAATTGAGAAGTTTAATTGTGCTTAAATTTAGTTTACAACCAGTCTAAAATGTGTAGAAGGCTTTCGTACTTGGGATGCTTACCATTTCCTGTTTCTTGAATTGAACTTTGGAATGTTAATTAAAATTGAACAGTGGAGATTCGGAATTTCTTCCTTCTGGTGAATTTTCTCTTTAAAATCCCTTTGCTGGGAAAAATAATTCTTCACCATTGTCTTCAGTGTAACAAATATCAAATAGAAGTGTGTTAGCGGTTTCGGGAATTCACTACTAACATCTCTGTTATAAAGACTTTAACGGCTTTAGACATTTGAAAAGATTCGTCAGAAATTGGTCCTTAACTTTGCAGTGGTTTTCGATAATCAGGAACGAAGTTGTATGTTACACACGAGTCCTTTAAAATGTTCATCTGGCATCACGGGACCAAGTTTAAAAGAGATTGTGTTTCATGGGGCTGTTCATGTGTAGTTAGAGTTACTGAATCGGTATTTGCTATATGCCTTCTTGATTTGGCCATGCAATAATAATCCCCAACTGTCGAATTTAGTCCCATTATGATTTGATTTCTCTTCCAACCTTGTCTTCTTGCGTTTAGGTCGACGCTGCGTTCAAAGTGTCTGCGATTTCATAGTCGCCCAATGCCAGCGTGAGAAGAAAGACCATACTCGCTCACTTCACAGTCTCATCATAAATGCCTTCAATTGTCTCAGTGTGTGGATAGTGGCGCATCCTTTTACCCTTCATGACCTCGATACACTCAAGGCTGTGGTTGAGACCACGAAATTGGGTATTTTTGGATCTGACAGTGCTGCTCCCACTGTAGTTCAGGTATGTTTACATTCAATTTTTTATGTTTATTTTGTTGGGGTGTGCGATAGACTTACCTCCACGTGGTGCACTCTGGGCAACGTATATTCATACGGCAAAAAAGTCTATTGACTTGCAGTTGACTTCTCACTTCAAACTACCATCACCTCACTCTATGCCATATTTGACTATTTCCACAGTACTCACTTCACCTTTGTCTTCCCCTCTGTGAAGCCTGAAATAAACTAAAGGGCTAATGATAACCATCAAAACGCCTGCCATTTGATATAAATAAATAAATGTTCATTTTGTGTTTGCAACCAGACAGCCAATTGTTGTTACACGGTAGCTAATCTATACATGACTAATGCCTGTGTATGTAGGAGTTGTAGAGTTAAAGTACTACTTCCAAAATATACTTCATGCTAAGTAATTGAATGTGTCTGTTCAAGCATATAACTTGTTTGAGGCGACAAATGTCTCATTAATTAGTTTTGGGTTTCTGTACCATTAATAGGATTAACGCATATTTAGAGTGCTTGTTGGCATTAGGTTATCGTGGATTGCTCAGTGATTTGAGAATTCGATCGAGCTTTTTTGGACTTTAGCTTAATAGTTGCATTGTGTGTTCCATTTCTTTTCACCAGATGGAATGCCTAGGAGAAAACCTTCCATNGGGGGGGGGGGCAATACAATTAAGATTAAAAGAGCGCTCTTCCTAACTCCCCCCCCTGACAAGCGAAGTCCTCCCTCATTTATTGTGATGACACATTGAACTTCCTCCAACCTCCCCTCAAGTACTAGACTATCATCTCATTTTAGGGGGTCGTAGGAAACCAAAGAAAGCGCAAAAGAGAAGCCAGAAATGGATGGAAGATGAGGAAGGGGAAGAGGGTAGATATGCATGAAACAACTTCAGAACCACAGGAAGACTGTCACGCGTCCTCACACTACTGCACGAAACCAACGCAACAAAGAAAATTTGCACACCCACGTCTCACAACACTTCCAAAAGGCTATTTTGGCTGGGTGAAATGTTCCAGTAGCAGTAACATCAGCTCTCATTAGTCACTCCCATTAGGGGTTGTAAAATTTCCCTTAAATTGAGGTCACGGCCTACTGACCGTCTGGCGCAAACTAGGCTAAGGAAGAGAGGGTGTGGGGGGAGGACGATGAAATGAAGTTTTTAGACTTCCACTTTAACTAAATTAGAGGGAAACAGCAGAATTACACTTGCCCTGGAGACTAGAGAGGAGCGCGCCTACATCCAACTACTAATGAGAGGAATAATTAAATAAAGGGTGCATGATTAAGGAGTAAATCAACATGAATAAATTTCCGCAGTTAATGCTCGAGATTAATAAATGAATAAGATTAGATTGTGAGACCCTATTTTTAATACCATGAAGGAGCGTGAGAAGGTATTACAGGTTAGAATGAAGAATATGATTTCAAAATGACGAATTACTCTGTTGGCGACGTAAAGTAGCGTAAAATCAAAGAATAACTAAAGTGATCAGCAATCAAAAAGAATTTACAAAAAGATAACTTATCTAATCCATAAGTATGCCCACTATTCTCCACATCTTCAGCCGATGCATTAATGTCATCTAAACTAGAAATTAAGAAAGCTCTTTCCTAATGAATCTCTAGAGAGAAGAGGAGATCTCATTCAAATTCATTTCCACATATAAAGACCTAAAATAAACGAAACTACATGTTGGGAAAAGTGGGGTGCGCGATAGACTTACCTCCACGTGGTGCACCCTGGGCAACGTATACTCATACGGCAAAAAAATAGTCTGTTAACCGGCCATTGACTTCTCACTTCAAACTATCATCACCCCACTGTATGTCATATTCGACCCCTTCCGCAGTACTCATCTTACCTTTTCTCTGCCTTTGTGTCTGTCTGTCTCTTTTACATCTTTGAAACATTCTTCTGTTCCCCCCCCCATCGCCCTCTCGGCTTTTTTTTAACTTTGATGTTCCTTCCCCTCTCTGTGAAGCCTGAAGTCAACTACAGGGCTAATGATAACTATCAAAACGCCTGCCATTTGAAATAAATAAATAAATGTTTGGAAAAAATTGTGGGCTCGAGCACCGTTTTCTGCATATTAAATTTCAAACAAATTTAGCTTGAAGACTACGTATGTCGACTGCTTCAGTGGAGATAAATCGCATTTACTCTCTCTCTCCCTCTGACAAATTCAATAGGGAGCCAAATAGAACAAATACGATTCTGAAAGGAGACTAATCTAGACACGCGTGATCTCTTCTCTGTTACAACCTAGGTCAATGCTGACAAGAAGATCCTTAGCCAGAACANTCTTCCCCTCTGTGAAGCCTGAAATAAACTAAAGGGCTAATGATAACCATCAAAACGCCTGCCATTTGATATAAATAAATAAATGTTCATTTTGTGTTTGCAACCAGACAGCCAATTGTTGTTACACGGTAGCTAATCTATACATGACTAATGCCTGTGTATGTAGGAGTTGTAGAGTTAAAGTACTACTTCCAAAATATACTTCATGCTAAGTAATTGAATGTGTCTGTTCAAGCATATAACTTGTTTGAGGCGACAAATGTCTCATTAATTAGTTTTGGGTTTCTGTACCATTAATAGGATTAACGCATATTTAGAGTGCTTGTTGGCATTAGGTTATCGTGGATTGCTCAGTGATTTGAGAATTCGATCGAGCTTTTTTGGACTTTAGCTTAATAGTTGCATTGTGTGTTCCATTTCTTTTCACCAGATGGAATGCCTAGGAGAAAACCTTCCATTGCCCTCGGGAATGCCTTTTTCTAAACGCGTCAACGAAGCTGCTGAGCACTTTCTTTCCATTCTCTTCTCCGCCGCTGGTTCCTTTCCACAATCCACCGGTCCAGAAACTGCCTCCTGTTGTCTCAACGAAGAACTCCTGGGCCAACTCATCAAATCAAAACTCTCACCTTTTCAACACTTTGTCGCTTCCTCGCACCCCTATTCCAATGGGCTTGGTTCTTTCACTCCTGACACGATTATCAGTCTGTCTGAGGTTGTTGGTTGGCCGACCTCTCAAGTCGCTAGTTTTCCTGCCAACGATAGGGTTTCATCCGTGGTACAGCTTCGAAGTTTAGCGGAGCCTGCGCCTGTTTACACGTTTCTTAGAGACAACTCTGGTCGACATTTGTGGTCATGGACCCTGAAATATGAGCCGAAGAATGCGGCGAATGCAGATAAGAATAAGCAAGGATCGGGGAGTTATAACACGGAAACCCTGAAACCAAAGGATAAGAGGCACTTTGTGAGTTGTCTGGATAATGACTGGCCGAAGAAATTGACGAGTGAAGCCAATGATCCATTTATGCCTCGAACTGTGGACAATATTCCGCTTGTCAGGGCGTAAGTTTCTCACTAATATCTGTTATTTCACCTTTAAAAAAGCAGATGAAGTAGCCTTTTTCGCCGCAGTTGTTTATTGGTGTGGACAGAATACGGCATTCTTGTCCTTTGTAAAACTGAGGCTTCGATTTTATCATAATGAGCATTTTAAAGTCGTTGTGAATGTAGACATGTCATCTGTCTTTATTCTCCATTACAATTTGGGCTTGAGGCTTTTTTTTGCGAAGTCATTATTCTAAATGCGGAGTCTTCATGTACAAAGCGCACATTGTTTTTGTATTGTTTTGTTTTTTTCAATGAGGTCAGACACGCTTTTGAATAATATCATTAATTGTTCATCTCTGTAAACAGAACATGACCAACTCTTACCGTCATAGTGTTCTGTCTGGTCCTAGTGAGATGATGTCTAACATGAGCCTTGTCGACGAAGTCATACGATTACTGTGGATGCTCTCAGTTCGCTGTAATGCTTTGGTGTCCCTTCCAGTCCCAACTGCGCTCCAGTCTCAAGAGTATTAAACAATGTAATAAATCTGGTCTATTCGATAGGTCCAGATGTGGGTTCCTTATTCTTAAGGAATTAACTCTGTATCATAAAATGGTAACTGAGATTTGAGAAAGTTTGAAACCAACCTATTAGTTGATGGGGTGTGTGTGTGTGTGTTTGCCCATTAAAGAGCTTATTAATGTAATTGGAATGCATTCATTATACTGAATAAAATTCTTTTCAGTTTGAGACAGTTAATACGCTGTCTAGGGTGTCAAATATTTTGATTTGGTTAGTTTTATAACCAACGCATTTTATGGTGGCGGATGGGTCATAAGATCAGTTACAATCCTCATTATTTATTGACGCCGATAATAGTACGTGCCAATACTTTATGACTCATGTACGAGAAGTTGACAGATATGATGTGATCTCCCTGTTTCATATCTTTTGTCTTCGTAAACCATGATTATATGTAACCTACTTTTTGATGGAAAGGCTAAGCGTTGCCTACTTAATAATTGCTCTTTACGAATCTTTCTTTTCTTATCATCTCATTGCCCTTTTCTTTTAAGGGAGAAGGAGATGCCAACCTTGGCCCAGTCTGTGATGAATTCACGTGCTCGGCAAGAGGTTGATATTTTAAAATCTCTCATCAATTCAGAGACAGATCGCACGAATTCCCTCAGACGACGCATTCGTGATACGCGTGTCAAGGATTGGTCATCAGCATTCCCCACTGAGGGCCTATGTAAACCTGATCAGTGAGTTTTGGTCTAGTTTGTATCTTTTCATCTGCCTCATCAGTTAACTTCTACTTACCTCATTGGTTAAGGCATAAATCCAAAGCAACAAAGGGAAATAGGTGGCTTCAACCGTAGTTTATTGCAAAAAAGGCTTATTTTCCGGTGTTTTACTATTGCCGAGTTTCGATTTAGTAAAAATAACTAGGGTGCTTTAATGCAGCATTTATGGCATTCGGTTAAATCGACATCCGGCAATTTGCCCTTTTAATCTCCAGAACATTGGCAAAGAGCCAACTACCGTGGCTGACGTTTTGAAACTTTAAAAAATCTCTTTGAATGGACGCGATTAAGATAGTGAGATCTTGCTAACGATTTACTACTTCGTGGAATTTTATTGAATATAGGTCTGCTTTTTGCATGCATAAGCACCATTTGGCGTCTACATATGTGATGTTCTGTAAACAGGAGGGCCTTAGTGTCTGATATTTCGTCGGAATTAAGGGCAGAGTAATTTGGGATATTCAGTCATGAGTTTATGTGAACACCCTCCCATCTGTGTGCCTAAATGCTGTCATTTATTGCCATTTGCCCATAGACGGGCGGATCGATTATCATCAAGTCATCTTCTGAGCTGTCACCTAGGCTACGTTCCAGTAAACAGCCTCCAGCCCTTTAGCAACTCCTTCCGCACATCCAACGATTCTCCACCATCTACATCCACTCAGAGCACAACTCGCCGACCTGCACCTTCCATTGATGGACGTCGTATTCCAGGTACTAAAGGCGTTGGAGGAGCTGTGGAGAGCGTGTCCCTCATTCCATCCGCCTTAACACCTCTGGACGCCTCTCTTATTCGGAATATTGACAGTCATCTGGTTGCTGGTCAACGTTCCACGGCCTCACTTTTTGTGTTCTACGTGAAGGATGGACAAACTTCATTTACGGATGTTATTGATAATATGGTAAATGGAAGCTTCTATCTTCTTCTCAACTTTTATCTTTCTTCTTTTTGCATTTAATTTGGGGGGTAAGAAACGCAACGCGCTGTCAGGATTTCAGATATTTTTGTACAGGTTATGGTATTTTTATTGAGGGCGCCGAAAAGTCTATGCTTCTGAGAGGGGAATGTTGTTCGGGGCTTCAAAGTCCCTTCACAAGGTCGTTTGCTCAAAATGTACTATAGGAACATTGAAATTTGTTTTTTGCACTTACTCGCATAATAATGTACTTTGCCATTAATGTAGTGCTTGAATTAACTTTGAAAAATTTAAGATTTCAATTAATGCATTATTGTAAAAACCATATTTACCAGCTATATCATTTTGAATCTATAATATTCAGCTTTCCCCCTAATTCAATAATTGAGGTTTTTATCGATCACTGCCTTAAACAGCAGGCGTTTTCAGAATTCCTTGGCTGTAAATGAGCAGTAAATGTATATTATCTATCTTTCCTCAAAATTTATAGACTCTCACTCTCGATTGGATTGTGTAGCGTTCCATTCAAAAGCAGTATCGCTATCACTACTGGACGTATGCATCTGCACTGGAACTAACCCGTTTCAATCTGTTGAGGCATTACGTCGCGAAACGTAGTAAATGGGTTTTTAGCATAGCCGTCAACTGTTGTAGTTAGTCTTGTTTTTCCTCTGGAGTTAGATCGTTGCTTTGATTGACCTATGTAGCCAGCTGTTTAAATCAATTGAGGGGGGGGCACTGAAACTGTCAAAGTTCTTTTTGTTTACTTTCCTGACATTAGCCTGTTTATCTCATCTCTTAAAATGTCAAAACAAGTGTATTTAATGGATTGCAGAATTCATTCTCTATTCGTGTGACGTTGCTATTATGAATTAGTGATCTTTCAAAGTGGATCTAGTTCTAGACTCTGGTTCTGCGCATCTACCTCCTAATTCCCTACATTTTTAAACATTATTGATTAGAGGAAAAATATTCTAGGCGCTTCCACATTCTAGATATTCTATATACTTCTCACGCATCAATTTGATGTAGTCCTCAATACCTCACTGATTAGATTGTACTTAGGACATGCTTATCTTTCAGAACGCCTGGTCAGATATTTCCAAAGACTTCGTGTCCTTCGTGTGCTCAATGGGATGGCAAGTGGACGTGAAACACCATCCAGGTTGGCGTGGACCCCTTCGAGGAGTTCCCACTCCCACGCTCACCGCTACTTCACATTTCTCGGGCTTCGATGCGCGACGAAAGTTTCCCAGTACCGCAGAGTTCATACGATCTGCTCCGGATGGTGTCGAGAATGTCTTCTACTGGGCCGATGCGTCTACAGAGGTTGTCACTCTATGTCCTTCAAAACACACAATGGTGGAGAAAAGTGAGTTTTTGTTATTGTAATTATGTATTGACAGTTTTCTTAATTAATGAGTATTAATTTCAGTTTTTCTATGTGATGTTAAGTGTTTGTCTAATTATTTGGCATATTATTTATTGAGTGGTATGAATTTCGACATTCAACAAGGTAAATTTATGAAATTCTATTGTGTGATTTCTCAAAATGTATATTTTATCATATCCCTCCATTGCTATGTTTAATCTGAATGGGATTATTGAAGAAATTCTGCCATTATTGTCCTCTCTAGGTATATTGATCGAATCTGTATAAATTCCACCACACAACTTAAGAGTGATTACATGAGCAATAACTGTCTACGAATTTTGGTGAGTTTTCTAAGACTCTTTGTTGTATTTCAAATGTCTGTGAAAATGATATCAGTTTCAAGGTATCAAAACTTAGGTTACGTGATCACGACGCTCACCCGGTGCTGTGAATGTCCAACGGCATTGATTGAGTCCATCCGATAGGGAGATAAAGTCAAGTGCTTTTAATATCTCGTGTTGTCCATATTATGATAGAGCATGGGGTGTGCGATAGACTTACCTCCACGTGG